AAAAATCTTTGTGAAATTAAAATCAAATTTAAATAGTCTTTTAAGCACAGAGGAAGATTGTGGCAAAAAATATTTTTGAAAGGCAATTTCTTTCATATTAATACTAAGTACAATAAAACAATTTCCTACTGAATAAGTGGAAATAAGTGAATAAGTGGACAGCTTAGTGATCTAAGTGTTGATTCTTGTGATCTAAGTGCTGAAGGTTACAACCAAACACAACTTAGAAATGTATAAAATACAACAGAAAGTTCAATTTAAAAATAAACATATACAATGCTTCCGTAATTCTAAATTGCATTATGAAGTGAATTTTTCAACTATTCACAATCATTTGCTTAAAACTGATGACATTTTAAAACCTAGACCTTAAAAAAAATCAGAAATAGTAAGTCTAGCTACATTAGGTAATCGGAAGGCAAAGCAAAACTTAATTGCTACGTCAGTCAACTTCTAAAGGTATAATTTAATAATTCAATAAAGAGGAAAAATGTGCTAAGTGGGTTTATTCTTTTTTTCTCTTTTGAATGACAATCTTGGGATTATGTTTTAACATGTTGACAAAGTATTTTCAAAAGCTTTAAGTTTTTTATTCATCTTAATGGCTTTCAATTATCACTTGATTTCACAGTGAAAAACGATTTCTAACTTATTTACAGCAGATTCAGCATCCATGAGTCAATCTTGGGAACGGAGGACAGGTACTTCTCAGAGACACTTGCCATCGTTCTGTTTTTTTCATGAAGATTCCAGTTAAGTTGGCCTCTATCCCTACTATACTTATTTCTAGCTACTGTGCCTTTTCCACCAGACTCAAAATTTCACTCTTATCTTCCCATTCGTGCAGTAAGCAGGTATTTTTTATAAGTTTTAATAACGAATTATACTGTCAGCAATTATTAAGAAATTGATAAGATGTAAAAGTAGCAAAGGAAAGACATGAAGCTACAAAGTTAAAGATCTCTCACTAAAACTTATCCTTACAATGTATCTAAAAAGACTAGACAAGATTTGTTAGATCTACTGGTCTTTACACTAATTCAATTCTAGTCTTAAAGCGAGCCTTCTATGGCCTAATCTCTTAGTATTCACTCTGGCCATTCTTAGAGAACAACGTTTCTATTCCAACCTTCTCTACCTTTTAGAGAGAGGTAGGTCAGTAGAATGGTTAACCTGAGTCTCCGGAAGACATTCGTTTACTCCAGGCTATCATCTCACACTCCTATTTTATTTTAAAAACTCTTCAAACATGATTTATTCTCCGACAAATTCAAAATTACTTTCCACAAAATAAAATTCTGGAAATCTAACAAATGCGAAGCGCTTGATCTGGTGAAAGGAACTGAAAATTCTTCCTTCAAAAGCGGGAAATGTGAAGTCTAATTTCTAAAGAGCGAGATGAAAGACCTTCAAAATTTACAGGTCTGTTTTGGCGGAAAGAAACACTCTGGTCACTAGAAAGGTCGCAAACCCCTGCCTCTGGGTTGAGGCGGAAGCGCCCGGTACACTCCCGCCCAGGCTAGGGGCAAGATGCTCCCGGGCTTTCAAGAAGCCGCCGTGGAAGGCAGGCCCGGCATCCTCAGCGGAGTTATCTCACGTCCGGCCCCGCAAGCCCAGCGAGTTCGTCATAAACACGCTAGGCAGAGAGAGAAGCGCGGCCGAGGGAACCGATCACGCAACTGTCAAACGAAGCCCACCACCCCTTGACAATCCCTAAGACGACAAGCCTTTGCGGCACGAAACACTCACCAGTTGCCTCAGGATCGCGACTACAACTCCCAGGAGGCTGCGCGGCCGACGGAGCTGCGTCTATCCCAGAATGCAGCAGAGCAGCATCCCCATCCCTTTTTCTTTCTCCGCTCCTCCTACTTCTCTACCCTGCGTCATCGGGGAGGGCGGGAGGTAGGGTGCGGGAGGGACCCCAAGCCTTCAGCGTGCTGCGTCAGACGTTGGGAGGGGGACGGGGCGGGGAGCCGGAGGAGAATGGGAGGACGAAGAGGAGGGGAGAGGGGAGGGGTGGGTAAATAGTGGGCCAAGCAGGAAGATGGCGGCTGTAGCGGAGGTGTGAGCGGACCCGAGTCTCTGCAGCTGGATTTTCTCTTCCTTTCCTCCTCCCCCTTTCCTTCTCTAATTGAGATTGGCATCAAGGGGACTGAGTTCGGGTGGCAGCGCGGGGCGCAGCGCAGGGGTCACGGCGACGGCGGCGCCTGACGGCTGGAAGGGCAGGCTTCCTTCGCCGCTCGTTCTCCTTCCCCGGTCCGCTCGGTGTCAGGCGCGGCGGCGACGGCGGCGCGTGGGGCGGACTTCGTCCCTTCTCCAACACCCCCCGGCCCCGGAGCGGGCACTCTTCCCATCACCATCCCCTGACATTTCACCCCGGGGACTGGGCGCCTCCTCCGGCGCAGCTCGGGGAGCGGGGGCCGGTCTCCTGCTCGTCTGTCGCGCCTCCATGTCGGATAACCAAAGCTGGAACTCGTCGGGCTCGGAGGAGGATCCGGAGACGGAGTCCGGGCCGCCTGTGGAGCGGTGCGGGGTCCTCAGCAAGGTGAGCAATCCGCGGGCCAAAAGCCCCCTGCCCAAACTCACCTGTCGCGAGGCAAGCCGCTGAGAGCGGGGTGGGGCTGGGCGGGAGGTACGGACTGTCCCGGGGCGGGGGCTGCGGTATGTGCCGGGGTGCGGGGCTGAATTCTGCTGCAGAGTGTGCGGGCCAGAGGTGGAATGGGGAAAGGGAGAGAAGATCGTCTTCCTTGCCTGCCCTGTGGTGTCTGCGGCCGCTGAGGACTGGGGAAACGTGTCCCAGCCCCGGATCCAGTTTGGGAGCGGGATGGGCACTGTGACTTGAAACTCAGGGCGGCAGCTGTCCCGGGTATAAGAATCTGGGTTGGGCAATATCGGCGTCCGAACAACTGAGTATGGGAGCGCTTCAGATCGTACCTTTCAAACGAGGTTAGTCCGGAAATGTTGAGCAGAGTAGGGTTGGAGGGTTCTGGGGACGCCGCTGTTTAGACAGAAGCTGGAGCAGCTAGACTTGGTGCTGAAATCTGAGGTGGTAAACCATGCCAGGTTATATGTAGAGAGAAATCTCAATGAGGAGGTCTTTTGTACTTTTTCCCTCACCCTTTACCCCATTTCAGAAAAGAGCTATTGAATCGGCACGTGATAGGTACAAGAAATATAGTGACTTGGAATACGTCAGAATAGATAGTGACCTCTAGTTCAGGAAGAAGAGCATTATTTAATAATAAAATATTCTTGCAGTCAGAGGTTCAGAGTAAGGAAAAGACATCTTACTTTTCCTGTAGTTTTCAAAATTTTAGCAAAGCAGTCATTCGTAGGACTCTAAGGCTAATTAGTTAAAATGGATGAGGCCCTTTTTGAGAGATGATGAATGTTTTTTTCTTTTGATAGTACATGGAGGGTTTTAGTTTTTTTGTTCTTCGTCTTTTAAAGTTTTGCTGTGAGAAGATCCACACTGCTTTCCCCCGCCCACCCACTTTCTGTTAGACTTTTAGAAATGGCTGGAGCTAGCAACCTGGCGAAGGAGGAGCTGGGGCCAGTCTCTCAACAAGCTGGTCACAAGATCACAAGATACTAGGTCATGTGCAGCTACTGGCTATTAAGAAATCACCCTGGTTCCAGTATAAATACTTTGGCTAAACATTTGGACATCTTTTGGAATTGTTTCATATTAGGTTTTTATATTGTCTTCAGAAGGGTGATGAGAAAAGGCCTAAGAAAGGCATGAGTATGTTAGAACGGAGACTTGAAAAGTGTTAACTCTTATTTGCATAGCAGAAAAATTAGGGCGTGTGTTGATATTATGATCGTTATTGGAATTGCAGTGGAAGTTTTCAGTAAAGCAAAGCTCTCTAGGGTTTCTTTAAAGTACATATATCTTGTAATTTAGGAATCTATCGAACACATTGTGTAATATACATTTTTAGATAGAATTATTATGAAACGGGTCCTAAGTGATTCTGGTAATATCCTTTTTCTTATATGAGATCAGACTTTCAAATTAATATTGTGCTAAGTATTTTACAAAACAAGCTGTACTTTTGGCCTATTGATTATCATTTTGGGATTAGAATGACTGCTGGAGTCAGTGCTCCGAGTATTCATCTTATTTCAAAGCAGTGTAGTTGGTATACTGTATGGAAGTATAGAAGAAAATGAAAGACTATCTCTTTGATATTTAAATGCTTAGTAATGTAGTATTTGACTGTTTCTATGGTAGGTAAATAACTTTAGTTTTGCTGCATACTTAGGTCAATAGGAATTTAGGTTTCGGTATTCTCGATAAAACCTATGAAGGAAATTTCCCTGAAATTTAACAATTTATTGTTATATATAATGTTTTTTTGGAAGCTTTTTAATCAAGAGTATTTAATATTGGTTATGTGTTTTAGAATTTAAAGTACCTATATATTTTGAGCCCTTTGTATTCACTTGGTAATTTAAACACGAGTTAGAACTCAGCCTCCATCCTTTTCCTGCTATTGAGTAACGTAGTTAAAGTAGCAACGAAAGCCTGGGTAATTAGCATGCAGCTTCTTCTGAATTCTCATCCTTTGAGGTTTACTATGTCTTCTATTTCTCCACTCACCTAACTGTTGGCTAAAATTCTTCCCATCTTTAGAGTCCATCTCAAATACTGTTCTTTCCATGAAGCCTTTTCTTATTTCACCAACCGTTCCAGATCTCCTTCCCTTGAATTCCCACAGCATTTTGTTTGTCACTTGCTTTTTATTCTTATTTTAAATGTAGGACTTTTTTTTCTATTGAAAATATACCTTGCTGGACTATTAGGAGCAGGATTCTTTGATTCTTTTGCAATGCCTAGCATATTGCCTTGTCTCTATTTGTTAAATGGGGAAGAGTGATGAACGTATGAGGGTAGAGAAAGGCAAAAATCTGCCTTCTAGGTGTGATAATGGTTTAACATTCACTAAGTAAAGTGTAGTGAAACTTATATAATGTATTGAGTCCTCTGTAAGAAAACATAAAATTGTGGACACAGAATTCCTGGGGCCACTTCTGTTACTTTAGAAGGGGTCTGTTCTATGAGCTGTGGTGAAGGTTAAACATTAAATATGCATAACTTTGCTTCCAAGTCAGAAAGTACTGTGTGCTTGGTAATGTTCTAAGTCTATTCTTATTTAACCTTAACAACTCTCAAGTAGAGTTTGACAGAGAAAGAGAGAAGATAAGTAACATGACCACAGTCACACAGTTACCAGCCTTCTGGGGGCAGTAATTGGAAGTGAGGTAGGACTAACCAATTTATATTATAGGCAATGGAGAGTTATTAATCTTAAGTCTTGGAGCTGAAGGTTCAGTGAGATTAATACGTAAGATAAGAAAGCAAATATGCTTAATAAGTAAATAAGATTATGTAAGTTATGAAATAAAAAGTAGAAGTTATTTGATATAAGGTTATTAAGCCTTCTCAGGGATCCAGGAACCTGGTAATTTGATTGGATTGATTAAAAATAGAGAAGAGGAGACAAGTGTAAGGGTTTAATATTAAAAAAAAAAAAGATGACTATGAGCTGGTGGTGGGCTGTAAAGATTGAGAAGGAACCGTCAGGTACTGAGTATCGCCTATGAATATAGTAGGTGTCTTCATGATTTTATTCACCCATTCAAATAATAGGCAAACTGACACTCAGGAAAGTTAAATAACTTGTCAAAACTCCACATAACTAATAAAGTAATTGAGTCTCTGATTTTGTATCCACTATTCAGTCCTTATAGCACATGAACCTTTAGTTAGGTTTGAGTCTAAATGACTGTGAGAGTCAAAGAAATAACCCTTGACTAATAGTCTAGAGTCAAGAAAATGGGAAGGAACATAGGGAGTACTCCTTACAGGAGGAGGTGAATTCAGTTTTGTATGTAAGCATCATTATTTCAAGTTAGAGTCTAAGTGTTGGTAAGTCATAAGGAGTTCAAAATAAGGAAATGGTGATTAAAGAGCCCTTAGGAAAGAATGAGTTAAATTGCCAACATGAATGAGCTCTCAAGGAGGAGTTGTAATGATGGGACTTAGAAGATTTAAGACCTGAACCATCTCAAGCATGCTGAATTAGGGAATAAGAAAGTAAAGATTTCCCGAAGCCAATGCAGTACGTATATTTTTAACAATCCATTTTGAATTAGTTTTTGGCAGATAGTTTTGGAATTGTGTATACTTAAAACCCTCAGAGCATAAAAATATGCAAAATCTAGAATTCCCATAGAGATTACATTTCTGCCATTGCAAGTTTATTATGATCTTCAGTATACAGCAAGACTTTAGCAATACAAAAATCATTTATACTTATTGGAAACCAATAATCCAAATTTTTGAAAATCAGTTTTATATCTGTATTACTTTTGGGTTTGAAAACTAGTTCTTCAGAGGAACTTGGAAAATGAATTAACTTTTTAAAATATGAAATATTGAGTACTGTGAAGGAAAAAATGAAGTGTAGACTTACTAAAGATTAATCTAGTATTTTTACTTTGATGTTGTTATGAACATCATAAATTTTAACATAGAAGTAACTTAGAACAGAAGTACAGTTTTGGCCATGATTGGCTTCATACTTCTGTTGATTTACAAGGTTTCATGGAGTACTTGTTATAGGAAAATGAGAGACTGTATAATTTATAACCAAACTAACTTTTCTATTGAATATATTAATTATGGTAGAGACCAAAATAATTTAAGTGTCATGAAGGTGGTGAAGAGGGGAGAATGAAAGTACACAAAGACCAAAGCATAATTTTTTAAATTAATTTTTTTATTAAGGTGACATTAGTTAATAACATAAATTTCAGGTGTACAACATTATAATTCAGTATCTGTATACTCTAGTGCATGGTCACCACCAAAAGTCTAATTTCCATTCGTTACCATAGATTTCACCCTTTTTACCCATTTTGCTACCCATTTCGCTTTTCTCAAACCTCCCTTCCCCTCTTGTAACGACCATTTTGCTATCTGTATCTATGAGTTTTTGTTTTGTCAGTTCATTTGTTACTTTTTTTGTTTTAAATTCCACATGAGTGAAATCATGTGGTTTTTGTCCTTTTCCATCTGAGTTATTTCACTTAGCATAATACTCTCAAGATCTGTCCATGTTGTCACAAATGGCAGTATTTCATTTTTTATGGCTTTACTACATCTTTTCCATCCATCAGTAGACACTTAGGTTGCTTTGATATCTTGGCTATTGCAAATAATACTGTAACAAATAGAGTGGTACATATGTCTTTTTGAATTAGTGTTTTCATATTCTTCTGATAAATACCCAGAAGAGGAATTGCTGGATCATATTGTAGCTGTATTCTTAATTTTTTGAGGAACCTCCATACTGTTTTCCATAGAGGCTGCACCAGTTTAACATTCCCAGCCAGCAGTGTATGAAGCTTCCCTTCTCTCCATATCCTCTCCAACATTTGTTATTTCTTGTCTTTTGATAATAGCCATTCTAACAGGTATAATATCTCATTGCAGTTTTGATTTGCATTTCCCTAATAATTAGTGACGTTGAACATCTTTTCATATGCCTACTGGCCATCTGTATGTCTTCCTTGGAAAAATATCTGTTCAGATCCTCTGCCCATTTTTTAATCAGGTGGTTTTGTTGTTGAGTTGTATAAGTTCTTTATATTTTTTGGATAATAACCCCTTATCGAAAGTATCATTTGCACGTATCTTTTACCATTCGATTGGTTGCCTTTTTGTTTTGTTGATTTCCTTTGCTGTGCAGAATTTTTAACTGAAATTTGCTTCTCTTTTATTCCTCAAATGTTAGAGAAAAAGTGTTATATTTATCTATTTGTTTTATTTATAATTTTTAAAAAATTACTGAAAATCATTATACAATCTAGAAAACATAAACCTTCCACATTTTGTAATCATTTTTACTATTTATAATTACATTATAACATTTCACATTTTGGTTTTAAAATTAGATTCATTTGCTGTTACAGAAAGTTTGAATTTCTAAAATATTGACTTCTTTGTTTTTCTCTTCCCTCCCCTCCCCCTACCCCTAGTGGACAAACTACATTCATGGGTGGCAGGATCGTTGGGTAGTTTTAAAAAGTAATGCTCTCAGTTACTACAAATCTGAAGACGAGACAGAGTATGGCTGCAGAGGATCCATCTGTCTCAGCAAGGCTGTCATCACGGTAAGCTTCTGTTCTCTTTCATTCAACAAATATTTATGAAGCATCAGCTACACACCAAGAAATATTCTAGGTGTTTGGTATACATCTGTGAACAATAAAATCCTTGCCCTCATAGAGCATACAGTCTAATATTTTTTAGGGTGTTTATTACTGCATTATATAGACATGTAATATTTACCTATTTATTTAAGGCCTTCAGAAAAAAAGATATTAGAAGGCTTTGTATATGTTGAGATTTGGAACAGTTACTTGGCAGGTTATTGAAAATATTAAGGTGGGAAAATTAAAAAACATATCTTAACATTTTAAAATTCTAACTTAAAATATATAAATCTATATTTGCCAACTTTTTTATATAGAGCTAACACCATCCCTTTGAATGTGGAGTTGAGAGTTGTTCTTGTGTAAACTATATCCATAATGCATGATTTACAATTTCCAGTGATTTGCAAAGTGAAATAAAAGCTTAAAGATACTTTTGAAAGACCCTAAACATAGGTTCTTTTTTGCTGTTTATGATTTTCCCTACTGTTTTACAGATGTCTCACCTTTATCTAATTCAGTACCTTTCAAAAGTATGAGTCACCTATATTGAGTAATCTATTTAGTTTTCATTCAACATAGTTTACATAGAAATAAACCTTCTATACTTGTACTCCTTATGCTTACATAATGTTTAATTATGTAAAGAATAGAAGTAAACTGGCATAAGTAGGTTTGGGAACAACAAACTGACTTATTAAACATATAACTCAACTAGTGAGATCAGAAATGACTGAATATGTTAAAAACAGCATACTAGTTGAGAGTGGTCAGTATGCCATAGCATATTTATTTAATAAAGGGCAGAAAAAGTTGGTTAAGGCACGTCAGTTTAATAGAGGTCAGTTTAATAGAGGCACGTCAGTTTTATAGAGCTATAGTAGTTAAAATCTAAAAATGGATATGTTAAAACTGAATCATAGATTTTACTGATACATTCAAAGAGAATTCACATTATGATAGAATTTATATTTATAAAAGTAAAAAGTACTTTGGATTTGTGTTGATATCTAAATCTGACATATTATGTTTATGGTTCACATTTAAGAAAAATCTTACAGTATTTTCCCATCATTTTTCATACATTCTGCCCCTTTTGGATATTCAGAGTTTGAAAACAAGCTTAGTTGAATACTGAGATGGAAAAACATAGATAAATTATTCGGAAATATTAAGAATGAAAGTACTATCTGTTCTTAGGTACAATTTTAAAGATATATTTTGAACATAAAGGCTCAGTACTTTGGTGTGTGGTATATTATAGTATATTTTGAAATTGTATCTAGTTTTGTATTTTAGGGTTTTCTCTTAAGATAAAACATTATTCATGCTAGAAGACAGAATCGTGGATAGAAATGTCTTATTTGAAATGTCTTTCATAGGTTCTTCCTCTCCTACCTTCTTTTGCATATTGTCAGATATTTGTTATAATGCTGGAGTCTTTGAAAATAATGTGTTGATGGCTGATGTGAAAATAGGAAGGAATGAAATTTTACCTTTTTTACTAAGTAGTAGTATTCTTAGGATACCATGTTAGTTTATGTAAAGTTAAATATAGTTATCCTGTCTTGAATTATGGGCTATGATAGTAGTGCATGTCTTATTTTGGGAAAAGAAAAGTTTTTAATAAACATTTACATTGAGTCTTTTAAGGAGTAAACAACATGTTAGTAGATTTTTTTTGTTATTTCTGTATTGGCATGCAGGATTGGTAGGACAGTGAAATAATTTGAATATTTTGAAAGGAGGGATTAGGTAGAGACCTGATAGAAATGTTCACTGGACTATTCACTGGACTTGGTAGTAGTAGAGAAGGCAGAAAGATCAATGAGGCAGCAGAATTTGAGTGATAGTCTTAGATACAGTGGAACAGATCGTAGGGAGAAACACAAGCATTTATATTCCTGAATTCCTTCAACTTTCAGTCTGTTCTTTGCTTCATGGGCTTACAGGTTCAGTGTTACATATTTCAAAGAAATTACAAAATATAACAATTCAGGAACTTCTCAGAATAAAATTTACAAATAGAATATGTACTTGAGTTAAATTTTTAAAATGTAATACTAATCTTAAGTAGGCATCCTTTGCTTTTCTTAAATATAGGCTAATTATATGTAGACAAAAAATAATCATCGATGTTGAATTGGTCACATGACACCCTTATGAAATTGATAGTATTCATATATACAGAAATCAACACTTGAAGATTTGTGACTTTACTGTGATCATTCATTAACGTATATTATTAGTTGGTGAACCTAGTGTTTGAGCCTGCCTTTTCTTCTTTATTTTTTTAAATTAAGTAATTAATTAAATTGAAGAAATGATTTAAATTTCCCGCCCCGCCCTATCTACCTTCCCCCCCTCCCCTCTGGTAACCACTAGTCCATTGTCCATGGGTCTCTGTTTGTTCTGTTCATTTGTTGTTTTTAGGTTTATATCCCACATATACGTGATATGTGATTTTCAACTTTTTCAGTCTGGCTTATTTCACTTAGTATGATTATTTCGAGGTCCATCCATGTTGTTGCAAATGGCAGTATTTCATCTCTTCTTATGGCTGAGTAATATTCCATTGTATACCTGTACCACAGCTTCTTTAGCCAGTCATCTATCGTAGGATACTTCGGTTGCTTCCATGTCCTGGCCACTGCGAATAATGCTGCTATAAACATTGGTATTGAGCCTGCCTTTTCTGTTAGAACCTAATTCATTGTTAACTTCACTCTTATTTTAGTTTACTAATTAAGTAATTCTTAATTTATTCAAATCATGTCCTTTGGCTATGTCATAATAAATTGGGTGAAATACTTCCAAAGAACAAAATATTTCCTGAGAGAATTTATTCATTTCCTGGAAATTCTTAATGTGAAGATTTAGCTTTTTATGTTTTTCCAAACGACTAACCATGTAGTCGAATACTATTAATTGAATAACTCATCTTTTCCCTACTGGTTTGCAATGACAACCTTTATTATAATATATTCTTATGTGTATTTGAGAGCATTTCTGAGCTCTCTTCTGTTCAGTTGGTTTGTGTACTCCTTCTTTTTGTACCGTGTTTAAAATTATATTGCTAATATTATATTAACCAGTTCCTTAAACTGCTAATGTTCCTTTTGTGAAGATAAAAGAAGTGGTTAATTTGCAGTTACTGAAATTAGAAGATCTTTTGGGAATTAGGTAGGTAGATATTTTGGTTTCATGTCTTTAGAATTGGTATGCGTAAATTCTGTATTCCCAAATCTCACTGTAGATATCTGACTCTGTATACTTAATATCTTTTAGAACTTCTTTAGTTACCAAATAAATGGAATTTCTATTATTAACATGATTGTTTTAGGGAAATTTATTCAACAGTTTCATGCTTTAATATTTTCAGAAGGAAAATCAAAAGGCAGTAAGTAAAAATGTTTATTGCTAGATTAAAAAGAATATTAAAGCCAAATAGCTTTTAGGTAAGTAAAAGCTGGAAGAGAAGTAGTTGGAAGATCTTGGCAAATTTAAAGAAGCCAAGAGAGATGTAAAAGTCAGGGAAGGAAGTGTTCAAAATAAAAAATTTTAAGTGACAAATAAAGAATAGTCTTATTTAACAAGTTTTTCAATGTGGAATTGTAAAGGAAAAAGTTATGATAGATGTTCAGCAAATTGGATATCACCAAGTTGAGTAGTGCCATGAATAATCATTATATAAGGAATTCCAGATTAGTGAGAAATCTAAGAAGTTGGCTTTGTTATCAAGTGTGCAATTTTCAATATTGAGTTGTATTAGTAAGAACTGAAGGAAAGAGAGGAAGGCATATGCAAGAAATAAAACCACTAGATAAGAAACTAGTTGATAATTCTCATTTGAGAAGCATTTGTCAGTGAATTTCTAAAGAACTTAAAAGCTTATACTAGTAAGATTTATGCCTTGAGAAGCTAATATCTTCTCAGCAGTTCATTTAGAAATATCTTTAGATAACTTAAATGTGACTCTAATAATGTAACTTGACTAATTTGAATATAGTAAGAAATATTTTAAATATTTGGTAAGAGATTTTGAAATAGGGAAAACATAAAAAAGGGTACCAGTTGAAATCTAAGACCCAGAATGTTAAAATAACTTGCCCAAAATTATACAATTACAAAATACATTCATTAGTTTGCTAGGGTTGCCATAATAAAGTACCACAAACTGGGTGGTTTAAAGAACAGAAATTTATTGTCTCACAGTTCTGGAGGCTAGTGGTCCAGATCAAGATATTGTCAAGGTTGGTTACTTTTGTTGTTTTTGGTGATTTGCTGGTAATCTTTGACATTCCTTGGCTTATAGATATATCACCCTGATTTCTGCATTCATGTTCACACAGTGTTCTCCCTGTGTGTGTATCAATGGCCAAATTTCCCCATTTTATTAAGACACCAGTCATATTCGATTAAGAGCCTAGTCTACTCCAGTATGACCTCCTCATTCTGACTAATTACATTTCCAGTTACCCTATTTCCAAATTAAGTCATAGTCTAAGGTACACAGGTTTACGGTTTTGACATATAAATTTGGGAGCGCACAATTAAACCTGTACACAAAATGTCAGAGTTAAGACTGGAACCCAAGTCTCCTGATACCCATCTGGTGTTATTTTGTCACATGTCACTGAGCATAGGAAAAATGCATATTGATGCATTTTATTTTATGTAAGACTTGCAGGAACGCAACTGTTAAATATTTATAAAGCAGCTCTTTAAAATTTGTGATTTACTATTTATCGTCTTTTGTTAAATCTCTGTAATAAATATGATCTGTATTTTAGCATTCAAGTTTCCTTAAAACAAGGAATACGCATAATTTTCTGGATTTGCCTACTTGGAATAGTTAGCAAGAGGCTTGTTTTCATAGTTTTTTTGAAGGTCTTTTAAGCTTCACATATACCAGTTTTTATTTAGTGTTTTTTATTTAACATTTTATCGTAATTTCC